ATTATAATTGGTATACAATTATATTATCTGTTGAAATTTAATTTGATTGTTTAAACGACTAAATTATCCCAATTAAAACTAGAATATATTGTGTTCATTACAGTTTGATCCCTTGTTTAATTTTTTTTAGTTTTATTCCAATAGATAATATAATTGTATATTAATTATGATTTTTTTAAAAAAATTAAATTTTTATTATTGATTTTATTTCAATAAATGACATAATAGAACATGAATTTTGGTTGCAAAATTCATGTTTTATTATGAATGACGTAGACCCCTTGTTTAATTTTTTAGTTTTATTCTAATAGATAGTATAATTGTATACTAATTATGATTTTTTTTTAAAAATTAAATTTTTATTTTTAATTTTATTTTAATAAATGACATAATAAAACATAAATTTTGGTTGTAAAATTCATATTTTGTTATAAATAACTTAGACATTTTGTTTAATTTTTTAATTTTATTCCAATAGAATTACAATTTTTCAAGAAAAAAATAACTTTTTATTTTTGATTTTATTTCAATAAATGATACAATAGATTATGAATTTTATTTTAAAATTTAAAATATTTGATATTCTATTTTTGATTGGAGTATTTTTGGTTTAAGTATAATATTTTAAACTTAAGGGGTTTAATATTATACGCTTACAAATTTCAGAGAGTTTGTGTGTAATTTTCTAGCGAATATATTAACGATATTTGACAGTAAGAGTGTAAGTGTTATGCATGTACAAACTTCATGGAGTTTGTGTGTAATATTTCAAAAACCAGGGGATCTGAGGAGTTAAGTGTCAAATCTCAGGGAATCCGGATATAATTCTTCTAATTTTTCATTTGCGGGTTATATTGGTTAATACGGAGAGGACGCAAAAATAAGTAGGTTGGCACGACATGCTTACTTAAACGGGTTGGACTAGTGTTAACTAGTGTTCAACAAAAATCCGAAATGACTCGACCTCCTATTAGGAAGGGTGGATTGGGTAAATATCTGAGTATGAATTATTTGCACAAAGTGGGTTGTCTTAGATTTGATTCCACAATGTTCTGGTTGTTAGTCCAAGTATTTTTTTTGTTCACTACTGATGGTACTGAAAATTCAGATGTGTAAAAACAGAACTGATTCATGATTCTGTTACTTCTCCGATTACTAGTATTAGGTTGACCTTTTCTACGAAGATCAGGGATACTTGGCCTGCATCAGAAACTTATATCCAAGGAGCTCAAAGAAAGGTTGAGCAGTTCCAGTTTTGTTCGTATGTTTAATGCAACTGAATATCTTGTTTGAGGGATCTATACCGTTGTCCAGCAGAGATATTAACTTATTTTTTGCCTTCATAGAAACCATTCTGAAGCTTTACACTTCTTTCTTTATACTTTGATTCTTGTTATTGGCTATTTACACAAGGAAAACAAAGTTAAGGTTGCATAGGTCATGGATGCATTTCTATCGATTGTCTTCTGCGACCATCAGTGTAGCAATGTTAGTTTACTGTATTCTTGGTGGCTCAATTCCCTATGGTTCTTCGCACCTTCCCGCGGCCTCTAATTTCGCTGGTTTCAGTTTTTGTTATTAAAAGGTGTATAACTATAAATTTAACTTGTAATCTACTCAGTTGCTCACAATAAAAGATTTTGAACCCCCCAATCAAAAGAAGAAAAGGGAAATTTGATATTTTGGTCTAACTGCTGGACAAATTTGTAATTTTTTCCATAATTGCTTCCATGTAGATTTGTCATGGTAAGATGCATGGTTGCTCAACTTGTATAAGTGCCTGATAGTCTGGGAACTGCATTAATCTGAGCTGTAGTGGCCTCCTTTGCCATGCAAAACTCCCTGACACGTTATATTAATTTTGCATCAACAATTACGATTTGCTGTGTGACAAGCCGTGGTATTTTCTCTTAATAGTTCGTTGCTGTTGAAATCTGGAACGAACATATATTTGGTGGAATAACATAAGAGGATGCTTACACTGGTTATAAGAACTTTGTTTTACAAGTCATGATGCACACATTCTTTTTTGCCTTCTGCAGTTTGAGGATGTACAGTTCATTAGTGGAAAGATGCTTCACTGATTGTGTGGACACCTTCCGACGCAAATCCCTAGACAAACAAGAGGAGACCTGTGTTCGCCGTTGTGCTGAGAAGTTTCTGAAGCACTCTATGCGTGTTGGCATGAGATTTGCAGAGCTCAACCAAGGTGCAGCTACACCCGATTAAGACATCCCCGATAATATTAATGGTTTTGGTACACGTGGAAATGATTATCGACATGAGATTTGTATTAGTTTGAGTTGTCAACAGGGTTTTGCCCTTATTTGGGAGCAGAAATTTCTTTGGGGTTTTGCAGTTTAAGTTATAAAGAAAGAGTTGGTTCATGTGTTTCAAGGAGGGAATGAAGGGAATTATTTCATTGTCTGTCCTTTGACTGTTAATCATGTTCCCCCAGCTGAAAGATTGATCTAAGATTTGTTTGCATTACTGTTTCGCATAGATATATTGGGTTACAACAAATGGTTGGGAAGTTGGTCTCTACATACAGATTAGTGTGCTAGGCAGTTTATTTTTTTGTTCAACGGTAGGGGTGCTCAAGTCAGTTTATGCACACCTCGATTAATCACCTCTTTGGTCTAGTCAAAAATATGTCATTTATGCTAAGACTAAGAATAATTCTTTCATGACCTGATAATAATTCTTTCATGACCTGATCCAATGAATTGCCAACATTCGTGTGCTAGGCAGTTGCTAGCAATTGATATAGGATTGCTAGATCATGAATATAGTTGAATGAGTGGCTTGCGAAAATCTTCGAAGCTTGTTGCATTAAGTTATGCTTGCAGTCTAGATACTTTCCTTTGGTTCATAATGCTAACGAATCATGTCATATCAAATTTGAGTAATATATGAATTGTGTATAATTAGAATAAAATAAATCGTGTCATATATTTCTTTTAATTGGTTTTATCCAATTTATTTATTAATCGTATAGTTTCATATTCATTCGTTTATAAAATAAATAGTTTAAGGAAGATTCAAACTCTTTAATTTTTTGTAGTGTTTGTGTTAATTTTAGCACTCCTAATTTTAGCCTATCATATTTTAGCACTCCTAATTTTAACAACGTTTACACATAAAAAATGAGGTTTTCCCCAAACTCAGCCGTTAACAAAATTTATTTCTACAACCCAATCATTTTTAAACATAATTCTCAAATTCAGTTTTTTTTTTTGAAAACGTCATTTGCAATAACATCTCTTAGGGGTGCAACTTAGGTTGGGCAACTCGATTTTAACCTGAGTCCAACTCGAAAAAATTAGAACTTGAACAAGGGTTTTTAATACTTTGGTTGGGCTTAAGTCAAAAAATTTCAACCCGAATTCAATTTTAGGTTGGGCATGGGTTAAGGTCTCGTGAACCCGAGTTCAACCCGAACCCGACAAATTTAAAAAAATATTATATATATATATCAAGCATTAACACTGATTTTTCATTTTTGTTTTATTGTTCTCTGTCTTTCTCGTTCTCTTTGCCTTTCTCATTCTCTTAGTCTCTCTCGTTAAAAACTTGATTAAAGTTATTGGTTGTTAATTTAGGTAAATAATATGTAATATATGTATTAGATTTAGAACAACAAGTCTATTTTGGGTTTTATCCAAATTAAACCCGTAAAGTAACCCGAATCAGCCCGAAATCATCAACCCGAATTCAACCCAAACCTGTTCGAATTAAACTCGGGCAGTGCTCGGATTAAATTTTTCAACCCGAGATAAAATTAAAATTAAGGGTAAAAATTATATAGCTAAGATTGGACTACAATTCACCGTCCATCCCGCCTGAGTTGCGCCCTACCGCCTCACATGGTGAAACGTCATTTTGAACGACGATTTAAAATACTTTACGTCTCAGATTTTTTAAAACACTATCACTCTCTATCGCATCTCTCTCTCTCTCTCTCAGATCACCCTTAGTCAGATCCTCTCACTCTCTCCATCAGATCCCCTCTCTCAGACCAGATCCCCTCTCTCGCTCAGATCCCTCTCTCAGATCCCCTGTGCTTGCCGTCCGCCATCCAATTGCAGCCCCCCCAGTCTTCTCCGACGAGGAAGGCTAGTCTGACGAAGAGGAACACTCCGGCGGTGCTCTCTCCATTTCTCCGGTGGTATTCTCTCCATTTCTCTCCAATTATTCCGTTATTTTCCACCCTTATGTGTTAAAATGTACTACATGTATACTACATGTATGGTATAGTACTGGAGTTAGGGATTTTAGATACTATTAGTTTCAATTCATTTCCTCTTTCATGGTTGCATCCGTTTTGGTTTCCAAGAGAACTCATTCGAATTTTCCCCTTTGTAAGTACTGTTGGTCTCCATTTGCTCGATAAAATGCGTCACTCGAGGGAATTTTTTTTATTTTTTTTTTCTTAACGACCTGGTAATCTTCCCACAATCAACTACCACATAGATGATCAGAACATTTAAACAGCCTGCAATTGAAGCATCAAAAACCAAGAAAGATTAATTGGCGACAACAATAATAATTCTACTTTTAACTGCTAATTGCTCAATTCAATTGCAAAAATGAAAAGAAATGAACCGAAATGAACCATGAAGGTGGAATTCAATAGGAGCATAGGACAAATTGAATCAAAACTACTACTTTACAGAGTATTGGCAAGCTGAATATCAGCTTCCAGTATTGGCAAGATGAATATCCCATGGCTATGATTTTCCCGAAAAATTAACTCTCATTCAACAGCAAAAAAAACCAGTGGAAGTATGTGAATAAAATCTCCAAGTGGGTGGAAGTATGTGAAGGATTTAGAAACCAAAAGGGTAATTCACTGATTTTGAACTCTGTAGATTAACAGTCCACCAAGAAACAATCTTTCTCTTTTAACAAATAAAACACACTGATCCGATTTACCTCAAATGGAATATATTTGGTACATTTACTGATTAATTTTTCTGGTATGGTCATGTTCGTTTTCAATGCGGTACTCAGGTGTCTTCATGCAGACCATCTTTGTCCTAAATAGTTATGGTAGTTGTCTTACAATTTCACTAACACATCGAACCAATGAATATTTTCCTTTCTTCCTCTACCAGCAATTCAACCATTTGATAATGAACCTAAATGGACAATGAGCTTATTTTGTTATTTAATATAAGCCTGACCAGTTTTAGTATTTATTACACAAGAAAAAATAAATCATGACATTTAATATGCTACCTTGAGGTCAAGTATCTGTTTGGTTTCTTGAAAGTGCTAACAGAGGTCCCATGGAGATTGCAACCTTTATTGGAGAGGATTAAGTATCTGTTTGGTTTCTTGAAAGTGCAAATTAAACACATCTATAGAGAAGCTAATGGGATTGCAGACTTTTTAGCATCCTTTGCTGTTCTGACTGAGAGGAATTCTGACTTTTCAGCTAGTGGTGTTTTGCCACTTGCTGGGATGTTGCTGTTGCAGAAGGATCAGAGCTTGCTACCTACAGCAAGATTGAAAAAGGTTATTGATAGAGGTACATTACCTCTTTTATGATTTGAACTGGGCAGACAGACTTGACTACTAGCAGTTGCTACCGTTGCAGTAGGTGCTATAGTTCTTTTCTGCTGGGATGATTTTTCTGAGGATAGCTGGTGTTGAAATGGTTTAGTTTGTGGAATGGTTTGCTGATCTATGTGGACAGAAGCTTTGTTTCAGTAGTTTTCTGCTGTCTGGCAGTTTGTTGCTGTTTCAGATTCTGTTTGGGATGAGTAAGGTTTTTCATGAGCTGGCCTGTGAACAAAGGAACAGAAGCTGATCTGTGTGTTGAAGGAAGAGCTCATTTCACAGCTGGAGGAGTATCAGATCCAGTTTTGGGTTGTTTTTGCAGGCAGTCTGTGATTATGGACTGCTTGTGTACTTGAGGACTGGACGCTGAAGATAGTTATTGGGTTTTAATCCTTTTGAAGGATTAAAGCCAACTCTTTGTAATTAGAATTTTTTCAATTACTTTGCTCCTTGGTTTTCTATTGAACTGTGGGGCAGGAGATGAACTGAAGAGTAGGAGATGAGTTGCAGGACTAAAATAGTTGTTGTACAGGTTTTTTTTGTCAGTTATTTATGTACAGTTGACTGTTTTGATTGTTAAAACAGTTACTGTTTTGCTTAACAGTTTCTGTTTTTTGCTTCTTGTAATTTTTGGATTTCAATAAATAAAATTCTCTTTTTTAAAAAAATAAAAATAAAAATAGAATGCCATACTAGTGAGACAGAGAAAGCAGGAACATACCACTGAGAATAATGATAATCTTAAGGAAATATACATTTCCGACATGAATTCTACAATATGACATCCTAATGTTCCATGTAACGTAGACAGTCTGGTGAACTCGACATTCACCAATTTGGCCTTTTAAAAAGTTGGATAGTCATTCGATCAGCAAAGGATAGTGCACAACTAGTTTCACGACACAATAGCCGTAGTAAAACACTAAGAACTAGTTTGAGTGCCATATGACACAGGAGATTTTTAAGTTTGAGACTTTCAAAACACGCTTTTAAGGTTTTTTTATTAAATATATGTTTTACAAATATGTTTTTATATTGAAAAATATGAAATTTAGTTATGCTTTTATGAATATTATTTTCGATTATAAAATAAGTTTAAAATTATTATGCAAAGGGAATTAAATTCAAAATTTTATTCAATTTTTTTTTTGTCTGGTGAATCATTATGTAAGACATAAGGTGGAGTTAATAAGCTTTTATAAAATTTATTACAAGTTGGTGGATGAAGACTTTTGGCTAAGAAAACTCAGTGTAAATGACTAAGGGGGTAGAAAATGTCATTATAAAAGGTTAAGGGGTAGAAAACGTCATTGTTTATAAAGGGTTTAAAACGTCATTTGTAAAGACATTTTTAAAACATCATTACAAATGACATTTTCAACCCTTTTATTTTTTTTAACGCCCGTTAACTGACATTTAAAATTCATGTTTAAAACGATATTACAAATAACGACTTTAAAAATGTTATTCGTAATAACGTTTTCAGGAAAAAAAATTCAACTTTAAATCGTCATTCCAAATGACGTTTTAACATCTGAAGGCGTCATTTTAAATGATGTTTTAAAAAAAAATAGATTTAAAAAATAAATTCAAAACTGATTAAATTTTAGAAATAAGATTTGAGGGGCTGGGTTTGAGAAAACCTCCATAAATGACGGTTGCTTCTTTACTTAGAACTGAAGGAATAAAGTTAATTCATCTAATCAGTATATCGAATGCTACAAATAACTACTTTGTCAGGCAATAAATGCAGCCAATGGGCGTTACTCACTTTAACGGAATGGTTAACTCCCTTCAAGATTTTATCTTTTTTTTTTTTAATTTGATCAGCGCTACAAATTTATCAAGTTGCCCTTAAATTGCATAATATAAAGGCAATAACAACTTTTATTTTTCCACCCAAATTTTTTTTTTTTTCTGTACGACTCCTAATCTAAACAACTCGAGCACAGGGACATCAGAATCGGGGGGGGGGGGGGGGGGGGGGGGGGGCTAAAATTTTGAGAATTTTTTTTATGTATATGATAGGTTAGGCCCAAAGGCTCAACTCATGTTACAAGCTCAGTTTAAATTACGAGTCTAACTCTAAGAGATCTGGCATCCAAAGTAGTCTATGCCCGATCAAGCTCATCAAGTTTGAAGAGCTACATCAGGAAGGGAGCATGCAAGGGTCATCTAAGAGCTTCCTCCTACTCACTTTGGAGTAAGGGTCATCCAAGACCTCAGCCTCGCTGCCTTGGAAAGAATTAACCCTCACCTCATCTTTGACCGAATTTCATAAAGAGCACCGTAACTACCTCGCCCGTTGAGAAAAGGTCATCACCTCCGCTGGATCAACTATTTAATTACTATTAAATCGTCTCAATCTGTTATGACTGTCAGATTAGCTATATAATCACAATTAAGTTGCTCCAATCCGTTATGAGGTGACTATAAATTGTAAGTCCTGTCAACACTTGAGAGGCATCACACTCATTCGAGTATAATTCTCTTATCACCCTCTCAAAGCTTGTAACTCTTTACTCTCTCTATACACTTGAGTTAATAAAATACCCGTGCAACCCTTGTTATTCAAAGTGGACATAGGTCACGGTGATTGAATCACTATAAATCTTGTCTTCTCTCTCTCTCTACTTATCAATTACTGTATTTTTTACTGTTTAATTGACAGGTGGTGTACAAACTCAATTTGTGCATCATCAGTATATAAATATATTACTTTGTTAAATAATTTTTAAAATAATTTTATTGTGTTTAGCTTAATCTATATAATAAAGTATAATATAATTCAAATCTCAAAAAATAAATAAAATAATTTTTATTTTTTGCGGTTGAGATCTCTTTAAATTTTATTTTAAAGTTAATCTGAGAGCTAATATTAACACCTCAAATTTAATAAGAAATAAACTCATAAGGGTGTGTTTAAATAATTTTTTAAAAGTATTTTATAACTTCTCATAAGTACTTTAAAAAAAATAGTGTTTGGAACTGTCCTACCGTCACTATTATCACCACCATAACTACCCCCCCACCACCACCATCACAGCCCCACCCCCCACTATCACTGTCGCCATCCCACCACCACCTTTGCCACAACAATCGCCCCCACCATCATCACCTCTACCACTGCCCCACCACCACCACCATCGCTCCACTATCCTACCACCATCGCTACTGTCCCACGATTATCCCTACCACCCCTACCCCCACCCCCCACCGTCCTACCATCACCCCCTACCACCACCCCACCACCATTGTCGCCATCACCTCACCATCACTATCTCTGTCGCTACCGTTGTCGTCCACCACCACAATTATCACCCGCTATCACCGTCGTCACCCATGATTACCACTACTATCATCGTCACCCAAAACCAACCCACCACCATTACCGTTGCTATCTACGGCTGCCCACCATCACCATGATCATCGCCACCCACCAAATCCATCACCGTCTTCTACCATCACCACCACTACCACTGCTCACCCCCTATTACAATTGAGGTAATAACTAGCATTTTTATATAAGCTAATACAAAATAATTGAGCATGTTACAGACATGCTTCAACCATGTTTGAATATATTTTAGACATATTGAAACTCATTTTATGAAATTTTTTTAAAAAAATAATAACTTTTTTAAATATTAGATCAAAAGTAAGATCATGAGGTGATAAAATTTAAGTTTATTTTGTAAGCACTTAAGAATCATGTCCATAAATAAAATAAAAAAACATTTGAACTTGAAAAAAATTTCACATATATACCGTAATTTTATGAGATTACTTGCATAAAATGAAAAATAAATAAGAGATTGAGAGAATTAGAGAGAAATGGAGTGATAAAAATATGCAATTGGTGATTGTGCAAGCTTCGAGCGAGCTATTTCCTACTTTTATATGAAATTTCATGAGGCAATAACACTGTTGCTCATGACTATTTATTAATTTCATCATATTTATTCTCATGATTCTTGCCTGACGATTCCCCCCCCCCCCCCAAAACTATGAGCTCCAATTAGCCTTTAGTTTGTTGTTTAATGTATTTTATTGTGATTGAGTTTTCTGCGATTAATATATTTTTAAGTATAATTTATAATTTTTTTTATTCTCTTAATTTAAACATGAAATTACTTGTAAGTGACATACAATTAATTTTTAATTTTCTAGGATTGACCTCTATCTAAATAAATATAAATTTATTATTATATTTTTATCGATTGAAAAATATTAATTAAATTTTAGAATTGGAGTGTCCACCCTAAACTAAATTTCTAGTTTCCCTTTGAACACACTTTCTAATGTCAAATAATCCCATCAATTTAAAAATACCTCTCTCTTTATTTTAATTTTAAATTAAATAATTAAAAAAATTAAACTAGTATTTAAAATATTTATAAGACCTATTCGATTTTTTAATATTATATAACTAATCATAATCCGTATCTGAAGGCACGATAAAATATAAAATTTGAACTTCCAAAAAATTGATTCCCACTATATTAAATTTTTTCAAAATATATTAACTATAAATTAATTAAATATTAAATAATTAAATATATGATAAAACTAAGTGATGTGATATTTTTAGGAAGAAAATATATAAAAGATTAAACATATGATAGAAATGAGTGATGAAATTTGACGTTTGATTCTGGCAAATAGATGATGGATGAGATAAGTGATTGATGATAGTTTTAAGGAAGAAAATATGACTGAGATAAAATTCAAATACACTCCTGTTTTATTATATAGATATCTTTAGTCCTGGGATTACTGTTTGTATTTCC